TCTCCCACTCCCCTTGCTTGTGTTCCCTCTCTCACTGTGTCTCTCTCTGTCAAAAAATAAATAAAATCTTTAAAAAAAAAAAGAAAATATAAAAACCATTTTTGGCTCCTGAACCAGCCCTTGGTTTGCATCATTTAATTTTGTTATTTGGAAAATGATTGTATCTGCTTGCTAGAGCTGCCATAACAAAGTACCAGAGATGGGGTGACTTAAACAGCAGAAATTTATTTCCTCACAATTCTGGAGGGTGTTAGTCTGAGATCAAGGCGTCAGCGGGGTTGGTTTCTTCTGAGGCCTTTCTCCTTGGCTTGTAGATGGCTCTCTCCTGTGTCTTCACAGGGCCTTCCCTGTGTCCTAATCTTGTAAGGCCACCAGTCATGTTGAGTTATGGCCCATCCTAAGACTTCATTTTAAAGATCCTCTTCTCCAAATACATTCTCATTTTGAAGTCTGGACGTTTAGGATTTCAGCGTATGAATTTGTGGGGGATACCGTTCAGCTCATAACAATGATCTAAACTCTAGATAACTTAATGTGAATTTGAGGAAAGAAAAAAGATTCTCTGGTTCCAGTGGTCTTAGTATGAACAAACTGAAGAGCTACTATGCTAGTTGGTTTTTTACATAGCTATTGTAATAACCATATCACCATTAGTGTGCTTCTTCTCTATTACTATAGGCTCTTAATATGCAACTTGTACAAGGTAAACACAATCTTTAGATTATGTTAAGTTTGGCTACAAAAGCATTTACCCTAGTTTATTGAAATACTGTTTGTAAAATGTATTGGGACTAGAATCTTTTCATTAGCCAAGTATAACACAGTTTCAAAATTAGACTGGGTTACACCAAAGGAAGAAAGTATTCCCTGCCAGAATCATTTAATAACACTTTTTAAAAAGTACAGTGAACATAATTCCCCATCTACCTGTCATCTAGAGTGCTTAGCAGGCTTTTGCCACATTGCTTTATTTACCCCCTTTTTCCTTTCCTGAAGTCTTGTATTTTTATTTATTTAAAAGAGTTCACCTATTTGAGAGAAGGAGAGAGAGCACGCATACTAGCAGGGGAAAGGATAGAGGGAGAAACAGACTCCCTGCTGAGTGCAGAGCCTGATGCAGGGCTCAATCACAGGACCCCAAGATTCATGACTTGAGCTGAAGTCAGACACTCAACTGACTGAGCCACCCAGGTGCCCCTGCTGAAGCCATTTATTTATTTACTTATTTATTTCAAAAGATTTTTTAAATTTAAGAGAGAGCACAGGGTTGGGGGTTGCGGGGGGTGGGTAGAGGGATAGGGAGAAGGAGACTCCCTGCTGAGCAGGGAGCCTGAGGCAGGGCTCGATCCTAGGATCTGGAGATCATGACCTGAGCTGAGGGCAGAGGCTTAACCAACTGAGCTACATAGGCACCCCCTCCCACCCCTGAAATCTTTTATTTATTTATTTATTTTAAATATTTTATTTATTTGACAGCACAAGCAGGGGGAGCAGCAGAGGGAGAAGGAGGCGCACCACCAAGCAGGGAGCCAGGTTCTGGGTTCAATCATAGGACCTTGGGATCGTGACCTAAGCTGAAGGCAGACACTTAACCGACTGAGCCACCCAGGCATTCATCCCCTGAAGTCTTTTTTTTTTTTTTTTTTAGATTTTTATTTATTTATTTGACAGAGACAGCGAGAGAGGGAACACAAGCAAGGGGAGTGGGAGAGGGAGAAGCAGGCTTCCCGCAGAGCAGGGAGCCCGATGTGGGGCTTGATCCCAGGACCCTGGGATCATGACCTGAGCTGAAGGCAGACTCTAACGACTGAGCCACCCAGGCGCCCCCCCCACCAAAGTCTTTTAAAGCAAACCCCATATACTTAAGTTTTCATCTTGAATGGACATTTCTTTTTCATAAAAACAATTCTTTTCATGCCTAACAAAATTAACAGTGATTTTCATATTATCTATTACTCTCTCCATATTCAGATCTTCACAGTTTCAGTAATCTCTTTTTTATGTTTAGGTTGGAATGGAGATATAGCCTAGGTTCACCAATTGTACATGTTTGATAACTCTTAGATTTTTTATTTTCTTTTTTATTTATTAGAGTGGGCGGGGGTGGGGGTTGGAGACAGTGCAGAGCCCAACTCGTGGCTGGATCTCAAGACCCTGAGATGACCACCTGAGCTGAAGCCAAGAGTTGGATGCCTAACTGACTGTGCCACCCAGGCACCTCTCTTAAGGTTTCTTTTAATCTAGAGCAGTCCCTCCTCTTCTTTATAGCCTTGATTTAACAGTATTCTGGATTTCTCACTTCCTTGTGGTATCATTTGAGTGGTTTCTTTTTCTCATATTTTTTGTAGACTGGCATTAAGTTTACTCCAGAGTTATGTTGCATGAAATTGGGAGGTTTATATTTAGTTGTACTTTTCTAAGATGGATTATAAGTTCTTTATCAGTTGGTCATCTAATAATTTTTAATGGTTTCATCCATTGTTGATCACTGCCAAATCAGTTTAAGGGTTGCAAAATGGTGACACACTCCCCCTCTTTCCCCATTTTATTCCACTCCAAAGCTGAAATTCTGTAAAGAAGTTTCCTTCATGAACTGGTCCTATTCAGTTACCAGGAATAAAAGGAAAGAAGGAAAAAATGCCTAATTCTTTATCTTTAACTGCTAATTTGTAGAGAATTGGAGCTGTTGTAGCATTTTCTGGTGGTCTAGAATTGTCATTGGCCAACGTGGGGAGACCCTTATTGTTGCCTCTGGTTTTGACTGACATCATGGTTTTTAGTAGCTTCATTTGCACAAGATGTCCCAACCTCATCTGTATTTCCCACCTCAGGACTGAGGTCAGTCATTTCTTTGTAGGAAACCCAGTTCCTTTAGTTGGAAATAGTGTTTTGGCACTGTGGTATTCTTTGTTCAGATAGTTATTTTGAGCACTTTTTAAACATAGGACTATATGGTCATTTCAATTTGAAAATCTATAAACCTAAAACTATTTAAAGTTTTAATTATTAAGTTACCAAATATTTTCAGTTACAGACCAACATGTTACCACATTGAGAACACCATTTTGGTAAGAAAATGAGCTAAAAATAATATATGATCTATTGTGACCTATTCATAAAACTCCTAACTTGTTTGTTAGCCGTATTAACAGCAGAAGTTTGGTTAGATTTTTCTTCAGAGGCATGTAAAAATCTGTGGGTTTTTTTTTTTAATCTGTTGATAGATGCCTAAAGAAACAGCTTTTACCCTTGCTTATATGCTGGTATTTAGACTTTGAAAACTGCAATCCATAATTGTTTACCTACTTTAGATCTGATACCAATATCCCAAAGTGGAATATAACTAGTCAAGTTTAACAGTTGTATAAAAATGCTGATGAGCAGTTGGCTGCAACTTTTTATTTATAGGAGGGACTTTAAACTGCTACTCTTTAGGGTCGGGAATTTCAGAGCTTGGAAACAAAACAATTCCTTTCATTTGAGTTTATGAGTAGTGCCGGAACATAACGATAATTAACTTTTTAATATTTAGGTTTACAGAACAGTTCAAAGAATACAAAAATTCCTGTATAGCCAATAATTGTAATTTTTACATTATCAGAGCAGAACATGCTTATTTTTAGAAAATAAATGAACCCATTGAGAATAATGTGGTTCTGCTTCCTTTCCGTCATTGTCTTTCTGGTTCATTCTGTAGAGGCAAATCCTGTTGGGGTGTGTATGTGTGTGAATTCTAGGAATTTTTATGCGTATGAGGATATTTGTCTAATTTAAGAATTTTCTTTTCTTAAAGATTATATTTTTAAGTAATCTCTACACCCAACGTGGACTCAAACCTACAACTCCAAGATCAAGAGGTGCATGCTCTACCGACTGAGCCAGCCAGGCACCCCATAAAGAACAGTTTTAAAGAAACAGGGCACCTGGGTGGCTCAGTTGGTTAAGCGTCCAACTCTTGATCTGAGCTCAGGTCTTGATCTCAAAAAAAAGAGAGAAAACAATTTTTATCAGCTATATTTCACTGCATTTGCTTTTAGCAGTTTTTAACCATATTCTAAAACAAAATTTTAATGGATGGGTAGAGCTCTAGGTGGCTGACACCATGAAGAAGACAGGTATATTGCAGGAGACAGGAGCAGAAGAATAATAAGGAAAAAGCAAATAGTCCAGCTCTTTCTAGTATAGTGTCTGTTAGATACATGTGTAGATGGAGTAGAAGATAAGGCTGTAACAAAGCTTAATTCTTTAATGTCATTATTTAGAATCATAAAAGTTTGTTAGGAAAATTGGTCAGAAAAAATGGTTGCTTGAAATAGTCAGAAATAAGCTACAGACGAGAACTTTTTAAAAAACATGGTCAGTTCTACCATCATCTCCCTTACCTTCCCCCTAGTTCCTAGCATTGTAAGTAGAAACGTTTAATATTAATACTGCATTTCTTTTTTTTTTTTTTTTTAAGATTTTTTTTTATTCTTATTTATTTGTCAGAAAGAGCGAGCACAAGCGGGGGGCAGCGGCAGGCAGAGGGAAAAGCAGGCTCCCCACTGAGCAAGGAGCCCAGTGCGGGACTCGATCCCAGGACCCTGGGACCATGACCTGAGGCAAAGGCAGACGCTTAACCAACTGAGCCACTCAGGCGTCCCTAATACTGCATTTCAATTGACAGTGGATTAATTCTGTACGATTTCTTAATTCTGTGAAGTTGACATTTAGGAGCAAGGCTCTAAGGGAGTGGCACATAAATTTTGACAGGGCTTCCTAATGGTTAACCCTGTTGAGCATTGTTTCATTTTTGAATTCTTTCCTGTTGTGAAATCAGTATCACCATGTTTTAACTTGGAATGCAGCTGTTAAGAGTAAAGATGTACTTGAAATTATAATAAACTGCCTCAAAATAATCAGTGTTTGAGTGGAGTACTTATATGCCATACTTTGGAGGTTATGTAAATACTCAGTTAATGAATTCCAGCTTAACTTTGTCTAATTTTATCTCTTTGTAGGCAGCCTGCTTCTGCAAAGTGGTACGATCGAAGGGACTACGTCTTCATTGAATTTTGTGTCGAAGACAGTAAAGATGTTAATGTAAATTTTGAAAAATCCAAACTTACGTTCAGGTAAATTACCATTACACATCATTGGGTAAAAAGCTTGTATTAGACAACTGACTAACTTTGGCTTGCTTGTTTTGTTTTCACTGAAGTTACTACTGATCTTTATCTCTCTGAAGAGGCTCATATTTTTTATTTTTTTTTACACAGTTGTCTTGGAGGAAGTGATAATTTTAAACATTTAAATGAAATTGATCTTTTTCACTGTATTGATCCAAATGTAAGTAGTCTTGATGCTTTAATTCCAATTTAAATCTGAGGAAATGGACATATATACTCTTTTTTAGCAGTAAGCAGTAATTGTTTTTCTCAACAGTTCAGAGGCTAACTAGGCATATTTATATTTTTGTGATATTTCCCTCTTAGAGCTACTTCTCTGTATACTCTTTGTTCTTGCAATCACTGCACTTAGGGCAGTATTCTTGAGGCTTGTCTTAATCTAACTTTATAGAATCTTTATTCTATGATTGTATCATATTTAGTTAATTTTTTTAAGGTTTTATTTTATTCACCTTGTGCAGGGAGGGAAAAGTTTTTTGCAATTTTGATAGCTAATGACATTTTTAGTACTCTAGGGGATGTTTCTTTGAGTTTAGAGAAAATGTAGGGAAAAGAAATTAGAGTTGGGGCGCCTGGGTGGCTCAGTCGTTAAGCGTCTGCCTTCAGCTCAGGTCATGATCCCAGGGTCCTGGGATCGAGCCCCGCATCGGGCTCCCTGCTCAGCGGGGAGCCTGCTTCTCCCTCTCCCACTCCCCCTGCTTGTGTTCCCTCTCTCGCTGTGTCTATCAAATAAATAAATAAATAATCTTTAAAAAAAAGAAATTAGAGTTGAAGAATGACAAGCTACTTTCTATTCTATAGTGATATTAGAGAGATAAATGGTGTGATAGTGCTTTTGTTTTTGTTTTTAGGATTCCAAGCATAAAAGAACGGACAGATCAATTTTATGTTGTTTACGAAAAGGCGAATCTGGCCAGTCATGGCCAAGGTTAACAAAAGAAAGGGCAAAGGTATGTTTCTTTTCTTCTTTGGGAGGGAAAGTTTAACATTTTTATTTTAAATAATAAAAGACACATTTGTTTGGCATGAGGAATATAATGTTTCTGTTTCATAGTTAAGTGTTATTAAAGTCTTGTGTTCTATGTCTTTTCCTTCTTTGGGTTTTACTAGTTTTAACTTAAAACCAGAACAAAGTCAGTCACTAGTTGATGCAGAATCTTTTGCTGAATTCAAGAGGCAGATTTTTCTTAAAAGGCTTTATAAGTTTCTTACGTATCATATGAGAGCATATTTTGGTGCTACAAAAAAAGTCAGTTGCATCTGAGAATAATTCCTACCAATGAATGAATTCTGTTTTTATCATCATCATCATTTATTAATTATTTTTTAGGTAGGCTCCACGTCTAGTGTGGAGTCCATTGAGGGGCTTGAGCTCACAACTGTGAGGTCAAGACCTGAACCAAAATCAAGAGTCAGAGGCTTAACTGACTGAGCCACTCAGGTGCCCCTGTTTTTGTGTTTGTGGGTTTTTGTTTTTGTTTTTTTTCTTTAAACTAGGATTGTTGAACAACTGTGAAAGAAGCTTTGTGAAACTGTCTTGACTATTACTACTGCATTTGACTACATTCTGATGTTTCTAGTCTATTCTTTTTTTATATGTTAATTCCATGCCGTACTAGTATGAACCCACAGTTCCAAAAAGATAGTTTTAAGGTACATACCTGTAAGTTTAAGTTAACCTAATCATGGGGTGATGTTTGTATTATCTATAGCTTAATTGGCTTAGTGTGGACTTCAATAATTGGAAAGACTGGGAAGATGATTCAGATGAAGACATGTCTAATTTTGATCGTTTCTCTGAGGTAAGTTCTTGTTAAATGCATTTTGCCACCTCTCAGTACATTTCTCTGTGAATTTAATTTGGTTTTAAAGCACCTAGTGGTATTTAAGACCTGAATTACTTTACTTTAAAGGTCATTCTGCAGCAAAACAAAGATCTTAACAGTGGTCATTAAATCCTGAAGTTTAACATTCTTGTATAATTTAAAAAATTAGTGGTAAGTTCTAAAGTTGATGCATACAGACAAAAAATAAACCGTATTATCAATGCCATATAGTTCGAGGCGGGGTGTTGGTTTGTTTGTTTTATAGCTAGTTCTTATTCTTACATTGAAACTGATTTTTTTTTTTTTAGGAGCATGGATAACTTTGCATTTTAGAGCCATGTAGTATGAATATAAACGTTTAAACACAAATATGGTAGTGAGATGTGCATAATGAGTGGTGTGTAAGGATGTTTTAGTTTGCAAAATCAAGGAAAGGATTTTTTTTTTCCCGAGGAAAGGATTAAGTAAGCCTATTTTTCCAAGATGTTATCCAAATTCACATTGCCATGGCCAAACGGAAAAATCATTGATCTCCCTTGAGGTAGAATAAACCTTATGAAATAAATGTACAGCAGTAAAGCTGATTAGAAAAAGAATGTTACATTCTGGGGCACCTGGGTGGCTCAGTCGTTAAGCGTCTGCCTTCGGCTCAGGTCATGATCCCAGGGTCCTGGGATGAGGCCCCGCTTCGGGCTCCCTGCTCCGCAGGAAGCCTGCTTCTCCCTCTCCCACTCCCCCTGCTTGTGTTCCCTCTCGCTGTGTCTCTCTCTGTCAAATAAATAAATAAAATCTTTAAAAAAAAAAAAATTACGTTCTAACTTGATGAAATTCATTTCATGGCAATTTGAAGTTTTAATTGACTAGATTTTGTTTATATTTCTTCTTTGAAAACTAAGAGCTAAAAAGTAGTAAGTAGTTATGTAGGCAACTGCTTAGTCAACATCTCACATGGTTCCAGCACCTTGATTTCAAATTAGAGGGAAAGGGACGATATGAAAATTCTCTTCAACTATGCTATTCCTATTCCTTACCTGTAGTAATTGGTGCCACCATTTTACCTAGCTGTGCATGACACAGCTTAACACTGTTCTCTTTTACTGTCTGTATCCAGTATAGCATTAACAGCTATCTTTTGTTCTGTTTTTTTGTTTCACTTCCTTAATAGTTCTTGAATGTATTCAGTTCATTCTGTCTCTTTTGCCATTGTATCCTCAACAGCTAATGCTTAGCACATTTTGAGCATTTTTCCTGCTCAAAGAAACTTAACCAAAGTGTTCAACAGTGCTGTAGGGAATCTCTTTACTAGTTACTCATATTATTCAACACTAGGTTGCCCAGAACTTTTATACTGAGCAATTTTATAGTTAGGTATCTTTTAAAGGCCTCTTCTAACTCTAAAGTTCAGGTAAGCATAGATTTTGGAAGTTTTAAATTTTTGTTTATAAAGTTATATATGGTTATGTGAATATTTTAAATTTTAAAAAATTTACAGAAAAGTTGTAGCTTGGGCCGTAAGTCCCTCCCCATCTATTAATAAATTAGTTTGGTTATTTGCACCTTTTTAAGTAATTAACTGCTTGGTTTATGATCAGAAACTAAAGATAGGAAATTAGTACTTCATGTAAGTATATTCTGTTGTTAGTCCCAATGTATTGTGAGTATACAAGAGTATTTACATATACAAAAGTATTATAATAATAATACAAAGGTATTATTCTCCATAGTATGTACCTTTTTATTTCAAGAATTATGTATATTTTCTGTTTTTAACATGTTATTGCTCTTTAGTCTTTGATTTAGCATTCAGGCCTTTTATACAATCTAATCTTCCTGAAGGTCTTTATTTTAAATCATTTATTGGTTCTTCACAATATTTAAAACTATGAGAATACCATAATACACATGCCACTTAGCTTAAGATACAAAGCTTTACAACTACAAATGAATCCCATTCTTTTCTTTAGGCACCAGAGGTAAGCACTATTCAGGATTTCGGTGTTTTAATTTCTACATCCTACATAAATATCTTGCTGGATAAGTTTTAATAACTTCACTTTTCTTCAGTGAGAACGTAGTCTTCCTACAAGTTGTCAGGATTTTATGTAATTACCTATATAATCTACCTTTTCCAGAAAGGAAGGTACTTAACATTTGTTTTGCTTTTTTTATTGGTAGAAATCTGTGGACTTAAGGTTTATTCTGGAGCTTGCAACCTAATAACTAGGGCTTAATTTAACATCATTTTTAAAACTAATTTTTACACTTCAAATAGATGATGAACAACATGGGTGGTGATGAGGATGTAGATTTACCAGAAGTAGATGGAGCAGATGATGTAAGTCTCTAAATTCTTTTCTCTGTTTACTTAAATAGTAAGAAACAATGTATTTATAGGTTGTTTTATATAGATTCAGGATTGCTTTTTTTGCCACTTCTTGTTGGTTTTTTTTTTCTTTAAGAAATACAGGGAAAAGCAATTTTTGAAATGTGCTCATTTTTGAAGGCTAGGTATCTACTAGGGACAGGTGTCCCATGGACCATTCTTAAAGGGACCAGATTTCAAGAAAATCACTGCATAGAGACATCATATGCCTTATTCAATTAAGAGTTAGTTTAGGGATTATTTTGACTAAGTTAAACGGGTTTTGCAGCAGGATTGGTCAGAAACCATAGAGTAAATAGATGGACGTTATGAATCTGTAAGGGTAAACTGGATAACTTTCTCAACATTCCACCCACTGGCATCCGGCTAACATCTTCAAGAAAGTTGTTCAGTACAGTTGGAAAAATACTTAGTTCAACAGCTAGGATCGGAATTCATTGTCTTCTGTCAGTCCAGTGGTTTTCGCAGTGAGCCGTTTTCCTCTTCCATTGAATGCCAAGAGAAGAGAAACCATTTTATACCAAGTTTCAATCTGGTTGATAGGAAGGGATTTAAAGGATGAGCACCAATCAAAAGGCACACACCTTACAGGGAGGTAGATCCTCAGCTGTATGTCTGTTCATCTTAAGTAAACTTGTTCTTAAGTCCAGTGATTAAAATTCATAAGCTTGATATAACCACATATCTTTGCTACTTTAATAAAAGTACAGTGCTTCAGGTTTTTAAGGCAAACTGTTAGCAGAGTAATGTTTGATCAACTTGGTAACTTTAAAATTCTTCCTTCTGCAGGATTCACAAGACAGTGATGATGAAAGTAAGTATCTTTGTAAAAGGGATGTTTACACAGTGATATTTCACATCAAAGACCACAAACTCTCAAAATAGAGATGTTAACTTCTTTACAGTTCTTGGAAGAAAAATTATTTCTTCACAGCCTCTAATAAGATAGCCAAAGCAGAAATTTGAATGATTCAAAATTTACATTAAAAAAGACAGACAAGGGGCACCTGGGTGGCTCAGTTGGTTAAGCGACTGCCTTCGGCTCAGGTCATGATCCTGGAGTCCCTGGATCGAGTCCTGCATCGGGCTCCCTGCCCAGCGCGGAGTCTGCTTCGCCCTCTGACCCTCCCCCCTCTCATGTGCTCTCTCTCTCAAATAAATAAATCTTTAAAAAAAAAAAAAAATTCCCTAGGAAGCTATTTAACTACTGTTGACTTTTTTTTTAATAAAACTTTGAAGTTGATAGATTGTTCTCTTGTACTTCATACTAATCTTTTTTAAATCTTTCAGAAATGCCAGATCTGGAGTAAAGAATGTTGTCCACCGGATTTTGAGAAAGAAAAGTAACTTCTCTGCAAGATTTCATAATTGAGAGAATTCCTGAGTTGATAGCTCTAAAGGCAGATGCTGTATTTGCCTCCTTTAACCCATTTTTCAACCTGTTTGTTTTTTTAAAGGCTTCACTAAGGGTTGATATGTACCATTGTATGGGGCGATTTTAAGTCAGCTAAGGCAATAACCTTATGCATGAACTTTTCCCAGACTTCCATGATGCTGTTGAGGTCCTAGGCAATTGATACAGCAGTTGTGATAAATAAAAACATTTCACCTCAGTCTCCTTTACTTCATAACATAGATACTGACATGATAGGAAGCTCTTGGCTTAGAAGAAAGATAACTAAATTTTAGATTTTAGAAAATGGACTCAAAAGTGGCTGATGAAACAGATTGGTTGATACCTTAAACTTGGTAACTTGTTCCTCTGGTATATCCTCCAGGATTATTCCACTAAAGTTTTTATTTTTCAAAAAATTTACTTCACATTATTGTAAGTGATCACTTGTCAGTGTTCGAGATGTATCTTAGCTAACTCTAGTGAATGCCCTAACTTAGGTGGTTTTTGAAGCCTGTACATTTGGTATTGTTTGACCCTTAAACTTTTACATCTCTTAGCATGGAGGACGAAGAAAGGCTGTAAATTGTTGCTTGAGAGTCTGTACATTTAGACCAAATTGTATTTGCACTGTCAGTATGGCAAATGAGTGGAAAAAAAAATGTTAATACACTATTGGATTTTTTATTTCTTTCTTTGATTCAGCTTGTCCCAGGCTGAAAACCTCAATTTATGTTCATGACAGTGGGGATTTTTTTTTTAATGTCTACATTCTTTCTAATAAACTGTTGGAAGACTTTTTTGGCTGTCCTTTTAAGTGTCTGGTTTACTGTAATTTCATGTATTACCATTTACTGGAATGGAGTTTTTATTTTACTTGAGGAAGAATTTGGGAATATTCCTCTGGGATAAAAAGGCTTGCTGTAATGTCAGGAAACCTTTTAAAAGTGGATCTGTAATAGCAAATTGTAGATGCACTTTGCAGCCGTTGGAAAAGAGTGTTGTGATTTGATTGAAATAAAACTAAATGTGTTGTCCTCCTGTAAATCTTCGAGCTTCTGCATTTTGGCAGTTTTTATTGCCTCTAACTTCTTTGTTTTTGTCATAGCATAGAAATGCTTCCTATTTCAGTATTTCTTTATGTCCGACATTAAGGACCTGTGTTACAGGCAGTATTAAGTGCTGGGGATATAAAGACAATCCTTCAGGTACTTGCTGTGCGCAGGGAGTCACAGGCTAGGCACGGGGGACGAACATTGTACAAAAACTTGAGAGATGGGAAGTGTGCTATAATGGGTTTGCATAGGGCATTATGGTGATTTCTAAGGAAAACACAACCTTTTTCCCTTCCCCTGTTAAGTACATGACTGTTCAAAGTGATATTCAAGAGCATTTTCTTGAAATGCTACAACTAGAAAATCTGTCCAGGAGGCCTGAGCATAACACTTGGCATTCAACTCTGTTTTATTATGTATAGAAGTATAACATGGGTCCTGGTTCTGTTAAGGAATGCAGTTTCTTCAAAGTCCTAGATTTTTTCATATTGAGAGGTATGTTTGAACTTTTATAGTTTAAATTTTTTAATTGTTTTAAATGGTCTCCTTTGGGCAGCAGTTCTTTTCTGCCCACAGGTCCCGCCCCCGTGCTTTAATAAAACTACACAAAAACAAAACAAAACTTGGTCTCCTTTGGAGCATACCAAAGGCATTAGTATGATTGATAAGTGTAGTTCTTAGCTTCAGGGTAAAGTTTTTAAAAGTTCAACAACAGGGCGCCTGGGTGGCTCAGTTGGTTAAGTGACTGTCTTCGGCTCAGGTCATGACCCCGGAGTCCTGGGATCAAGTCCCACATCGGGCTCCCTGCTCAGCGGGGAGCCTGCTTCTCCCTCTGACCCTATCCCCTCTCATGCTGTTTCCCTCTCTTTCTCTCTCTCTCAAATAAAATCTTTTAAAAAAAAAAGTTCAACTGCATTTTTAGTGTAGTTCTCTTGCAAAGCTGTTTTTGTCAATCAGTTCTAGAAGTTAAAAGATTAAGGGTTCATTGGTTTTATCGCCAGCCATTAAGCTATAGCAATAAGAAAGTATAGCTTGATGGATTTCTGATTGCATCCTCTGTCTCCTCTAAGATTTATTTTTTTTTTTTAAGATTTTTATTTATTTATTTATTTGACAGAGACACAGCGAGAGAGGGAACACAAGCAGGGGGAGTGGGAGAGGGAGAAGCAGGCTTCCCGCCGAGCAGGGAGCCCAATGCGGGGCTCGATCCCAGGACCCTGGGATCATGACCTGAGCCGAAGGCAGACGCTTAACAACTGAGCCACCCAGGCGCCCCTCCTCTAAGATTTTCTAAATTTATTTTGTGTTCAAACACTTGAATAGGATTTCATTAACCCTTATTGCTGAGCCAGGTACCAAGCCTTGTGTACGGCATCAATAGGCCGGAACTTGAGAAATATTTGTCCTTGTTATCTCAAATCTGAGTTGTAATTATTGCTTTAAAGAGAATTATTGGGGAGAGGATCACTTGAGTAAATTTTAAGTTTGAATAGCATCTGTTCTCATAGTTTGTCCATTTGATAACATGGTGATAAAGGTGCTTACATGCAACTTCCTAAACTGCAAAGTCACCTCCAAGGAAGGGAAGGAAGGCAGTTAGTTGCTGTAATTGCATGAAGGTTTTATCTACCAATTTAGTTTGAGCTGGTTTTAATTTCTTCTGTTCGGTAGGAATTCTTTTGATAAGAAACAAGTGATAATGAACTTAATCTGTATGCTAATCTCAATGCTGTTACCGATGGCTCACCAAGCGTTATACTAAGCATGAGGAAGGCCGGTTAAAGGGAGGCAGACACCTTGTCTGAGGCCTGCTCTATCTCCCTAAGTTATTTTATCCTAGTTTATGCTTTTCAGGCCTGTAGATTTGAAATTTAGACATTAACCACGCTTGATTATTGTTGGAGGTCTGTTTCTCCCAGAAGAGTGAGGGACATTGTATATCACCACTGAATCTCCAGTTGTTAGGACAGCACCTGACATGTGATAGAAGCTCAGTAAATAATCGTTGAATGAATACATTTCAGAAATAGCATGGGTAATGTTTTGTGAGTGGGTCTAGAGATAAGGAAACAAGTTAATGTGGCAATTCAAATGTTAAAGGTAAACTGGGGCGCCTAGGTGGCTCAGTTGGTTAAGTGACTGCTTTCGGCTCAGGTCATGATCTCCGAGTCCTGGGATCAAGCCCCGCATCGGGCTCCCTGCTCGGCGGGAAGCCTGCTTCTCCCTTTCCCACTCCCCCTGCTTGTGTTCCGTCTCTCGCTGTCTCTCTCTCTGTTAAATAAATAAAGGTAAACTTACACACTGGCAGTGGGACCTGGAGAAAGATTTCCAGAGACACATAGCTGGTCAAATAGGGTATGATGACAATTCATTTAAGATCCTGCCAGTCTTCCTTTGTTCTTAGCAGTGTTTTCTAAGTTTTCAGTCTGGATAATTTAATTGTTTATGTGAAGAACCTATCCAGAACTTTAACCTAAATTTTTTTAGCCTCAAATCCAGTGACTTTGATTTCCATACTCCATTTAGCATCCCATTTCCATGGCTATGTGTTGAAATTATCACAAGTTCAGAAGTGAGAGAACTAAAGCTTCTTCCACTACAACGATAACAGCCTTGTTGAGTATATTTGTCCCTCAACCATTGTTCTTTTTAAAAATACTTTTTATTAAAAGATTTATTAGAGAACGAGTGGGAGGGGCAAAGAGAGAGGGAGAGAGAATCTAAAGCAGACTCCGAGCTCAGCTGTGAAACCAGACACAGGGCTTGAACTCAAGAACCTGAGATCATGACCCGAGCCAAAACCAAGAGTTGAATGTTCAACCAACCGTGTCACTTGGGCACCCCAAGATTTTCTTTTTTTATTTTTACTTAAGATTTTTTATTTGACAGAGACAGCGGGAGAGGGAGAATCCGGCTTCCCGCTGAGCAGGGAGCCCAACACAGGGCTCGATCCCACATGACCTGAGCCGAAGGCAGACACTTAACAACTGAGCCACACAGGCGCCCCCAAGATTTTAAGTAATCTCTACACCCAACCTGGAACTCGAACTCACAACCCTGAGATCAAGAGTTGCACACCCAACTGAGCCAGCCAGGCGTCCCAACCATTGTTCCTTCTTTCTTCTCAAAACTACTAAGACCCACAGCTCTAGTTTGATCCTTCTTTCTGATCCCTGTGGTTCATCTTGAACCCAGTTTGACATACCAAAATCATGGGGTTTTGTGATAATGTGGATTCCTAGGTCCCAATGCTAGATAGGCTTTAGTAGGTCTGTGCAGGGACCAGGAATTTTCACTGAACTGATACTTGAGATCAGTGATTTCTGAAGTGTAGTCCCTGGACTTAGCATCCATCTCCTCTAGGAACTTGTTACAAATACAAATTTTGGCGGTGTCTGGGTGGCTCAGTCGGTTAAGCGCCTCAGGCCATGATCTTGGAGTCGTGGGATCAAGCACTGCGTCAGGTTCCCTGCTCAGTGGGGTGTCTGCTTCTCCCTCTCCCTCTGTCCCCCTGCTGCTTGTATTCTCTCAAATAAAATCTTAAAAAAATACAAATTCTAGGCCCCCAAATAGGCCTGCTGGGTCAGAAATGGGAGGGTAGAGGCCAGTGATCTGTTTTAAGACCTCTTAAGCTTGACAGTGACTGTTTTAGACCTAAAATGCAGATTCTGAATCCGTGGTGCAGATCAGCTCAGTCCAGTGTGATTTTCTGATGAAGGAAATGTTCTACATCTTTATTGTCTGAGTAGCCACTAGCCGCATATTTACTGAGAATCTGACATGTGGCTAATGTGACTGGCATACTGAATTTTTACTTAATTTTTCCTAAATTTAACCCCATGTGGCTAGTGGTTATCATAATGGCTAGAGTAGATTTAGGTGATTCTGATGCAGATTGTTCCTGGCCCATTCATTGAAACAATTTATTAATCAAATTCTTACCTAATGCTATGGAGAATTCCTTCCTGTCATAAAATCTAGAAGCTACAAAGGAAAAGTTAATGAATCTGACATTAAACATTAACAGGTCAGGGCACCTGGCTGGCTCAGTTGGTAGAGCATGTGACTCTTGATCTCAGAGTTGTAAGTTTGAGCCTCACATTTGGTGTAGAGATTACTTAAAGTCTTAAAAAAATAACATAGGCCAAAAAATGCTGTTAGGGGGCACTTGGGCGGCTCAGTCGGTTGAGTATCCAACTTTATTTTTTATATATAAAGTATTTGAGAGTGAGCGAGCACGAGCGGGGCAGGAGGGGCAGAGGGAGAGGGAGAAGCAGACTCCCCACTGAGCAGGGAGCCCAATGCAGGGCTTGATCCCAGGACCCCGGGATCATGACCTGAGCTGAAGGCAGACGCTTAACTGACTGAGCCACCCAGGCGCCCTGAGCATCCAATTCTTGATCTCAGGTCAGGTCTTGACCTCAGGGTCACGAGTTCAAGCCCTGGGCTGGGCTCCACGCAGGGCGTGGAGTCTACTTAAAAAAAAAAATGCTATTAGGTCAAAGGACAAGTAATATACTAAAAAATATATAACAACATTAAAAAGCATTTGAAGAGCACTTAATCATGACAAGCCAAGAGGAAAAATAATGGGCAAAAGATAGGAACAGGTAATCTGAAGAAATATAACTGGCCAATAAACATGAAAATTCCAGCTTAGTAGAAATCAGGGAAATGCAAATTAAATCAGTGAAGTAATTTCATTCATGTAATATTAGCCACATTTTTAAAAAAAATTTTGGTAA